CACCGGGCAGAGGGACCCCGTGCACGGGGGGGCCCAGGCCGGCGATGAGGACCCCGACTCCCCTCTTCCCGCGGACAAGGACGACCCCACGGCCACAGGGGCAGCGACTCCCGCGGGGATCACCTGAAGCAGCGGAGCCGCGGGCGGGAGAACAACGCGGGGGCCCCGGGAGGACCCCCAAGGTGTGGGCGCGGAGCCGGGTCCCGGGGCGCAGGGCTTCGAACTCCCGCGGGGTCGGAGGGGGAGGGGGTCGCCTGGGGCGCGCGGACTCGGGCTCGCACGCTCATTGGCTCACCTTGCAGCGGGGGCGGGGCCTGTTGGGGCGGGGCCCGAGGGGCAGGGCCTGAGGGGGCGGAGATCAAGGGGCGAGGCCTGGGGGCGGGGCCTGCGGGGTGGGGCGGGGCCTGGCCAGGTGCTTCCAGGGATGCAGGTGCGGCAGGCTGTGTCCTGAAGCTCCGCCCTCCATTTCGTCCTCCCGCAGGCGTCAGCGTCCAGGGGGGGCCTGAGCCTGGGCCGCCCTTCTCCGGCTCCACCGCACCCGGAGCTCCGATAGACTGGCGTTAGCACAGCTGCGCCCAGGGCGGGCGCACCGACGACCTGCCCGGTCTGGAGGCCGGGGCCACTTGCCCCCGGGGCCCAGGGGACTGTAACAATCAGAAGTTCTCGGCGGGCTGCCCCAACCCCGGGGCCCTGCACACACCTCGGGCTGAAACCCAGCAGCCCTTAGAAAGGGCCCCGTTTGCTCGCCCCTCAGGCCTAAGGGCCAGGCCTCGGTGTGGCGCACAGGCAGGGCCTGCAGAGGTGGGCTCAGGGAATTCAGGCCGGGCAATGCCATCTTTGCAACTGCCCGCTGCCTCCCTGCAGCTCGCAGGTCCCTCCCAGAAAGGGGCTTAGACACCGTCTGGAACTCTTGAGTGTCCCAACTGCCACCCTCGGGCACCTCCAGGGCACCTGGTGGCCCACAGGACTGGTGGCCCACAGGACTGCACCTTGTGGATATCTGCATCCTTCAAAAGCTGGTGTCTCATGGTCTGGCTTCCAGTCAGCCTCAATCCAGGTGCTGAGATCCCTGCTTAGGGGCACTGTAAGGTCTGTGCGCCCTCAGCCACGCTGCAGATTGGGAGAGGGGGCTGTTTCATCTAATTCAAGGAAATCAACTCAGTCCGGCAAAATGGACTTACACAAAACAACGAAACAGAAGAACATATTCCAAATAAAAGAACAAGATGAAACCCCAGGGAAGGAAAAAAAAAAACCTTAATGAAATGGAGATAAGAAGACAAAGCAGGGCAGCCCGGGTGGCTCAGCGGTTTAGCGCCGCCTTCGGCCCAGGGTATGATCCTGGGGTCCTGGGATCGAGTCCCATGTTGGGCTCCCTGCATGGAGCCTGCTTCTCCCTCTGCCTGGGTCTCTGCCTCTCTCTCTCTCTCTCTCTCTCTCTCTCTCTATGTATCTCATGAATAAATAAATAAAATCTTTAAAGAAAAAGAAAACAAAGCAGAAGAGCCAGTGTCTTTCCCCTCCCTTCCCTCTACTTAACTCTGCTTTGACTCATGAACGTCATTAGTTTATCCCACCGAAGCACCCTGACACATTCTTCTGGACTCTTCTGGGTCCCCTTTCCTCTTGGTTTCTTGTGGCTTGGGATCCAGTAGGCAACATCCACTTGGGAAGAACCCAGTTGCTTCTATAGTAGAGGGGGGAGTGGAAGGGTGGGGGGTGACGGGGCGGCCTAGTCCTCCTTAACCTGGCTTTCCAAGGAACCCCATCAGTCAGCAAGGTGAAAGGCAAAAGCTTCCGTGTTTCCTCACAACTTGCACAAAAGTGTTTGAAAGAGGTGAAGGTAAGTGGATGTTCTCAGTGGACACCTTAGCCCAGAGGGGAGGAACTTGCTCTGCAGAACCTCCAAATGCATGCTCCAGTGTCCCTGGACTTTTGCTTGGGTTGCCCTCCTTGCTCCCGCTTCCTTTCCCGTCTCTAACTTGTTACTTATGCATCAAGCCTCAGGCACCTTCTACTCTGGGACAACTCCCTCCGCGGCACGTACTCCTGGAGCCCAGCATCTTCCCATGAGCTCCCACGGTACCATGTCCTTCTCCGTACCTGTTCCCGTGTTTGGCTTCTCCAACAACCTGCAGGCTAATTCATCTTTGTTTTGCTCCTAGCAAACAATAAAATGGTTTGGCCTTTAGCAGACCGTCCACTGGCTACTGAATAAATGCGCCGAATGAAGCTTGTAGAGATGCAAGTTAAGTCGAACGCTGACCTTAGGAGACCTTAGTCCAGCCTTATAATTAGCCCCCTCCAGGCATTCGGCTTCTCTACTCGTGCTCTCAGGCCGTGCAGCCACGATCCGCCTGAGGATTGGCACCAGGCTGAGCAATTATTAAATGATTATTTAATGATTTAATAGTAGCTAGCATATACTGACAGCTATGCCCCAGGCTGTGTTCTAAGCACACTCGTGTGTGCAGCATTCGTGTCTCACAGTTCTGTAAGGTAATCGTCCCTCTTCCGTGGGTGAGGACTCGGAGGCCTAGGGAGGTGATGCGACACCCCGGGGACAACAGCGAGGGAGGACCTGACTCCAAAGCCCATGCTCCCTGCTGCTGTGCCTCTCTCTTTCTCTCTCTCTCTCTGTCTCTCGGGGAAAGACAAAGATGCTGACTAACCGCTCAGGCCGATCCTGAGCTTGAAAGGCCGCCTGAGGTCACGGGAAGGAATCTGTCCTCCTCCTTACTCCTTTACCCGCCATCCCAGGACTTCACTGCACTCCCCTTTCGGCTTGGCGTGGCTCCAGCCACCCTGAGCGCCCGCTCTCCCTCTGCAGCGGGGCTTCGGCCCCTTCCCACCGAGCAGGGCCCCACGAGCGGCTGGAGGGGGTTGCAAGGCTCCGGCGACAGGACATCCTGATGGCTGATGGCGAGTCGCAGGGCTGGACTGCGAGTGGGGCGGCTGTGAGCGCACGCAGCCCGCGGAGGACAGAGCAAAGGGGTGGCTGTCCTTCCCACAACCGATCTCCAAAGGGATGAATGTTTCCTCTAAGCTCTTCAGTTGGTAAAAAAGTAAATCCTTTCCAGGAAACTTATTTACGATGCTGGAAAATAGGGTGGTCTTCTCCTGGGACTGGGGAGTTTGTGTTGGAACCACACAACACTGGAGGGTGACCTCCACTGCGACCGGAGCCCCGTGTGGTGAGGACACAGTGCAAAGGTGAGGAGATGTCCTCAAGGAGCCTTTTCAACTTCTCTTCGGCTGCAAAGTCATAATCTTAAATAAGACAGTTACCAAGAGGAACCCATGATCCAGATAGCTCAAGAGATGCTCCTGCTTCCCCATGGTAGCTGCACCAAGACTCAAAGTCTGCAGGCCTGGAAATCAACTGAGCACATGCGTTTTTAAAGAACTGTGTGGGGATTCTGAACCTCTATTTGTGTCATCACGTACGGATATTTCCACATCCAATGCCGGGGGAAAGGGAGGATATTTATAGTTATATAAATATAGTTATAGTTATCCTATCCTATAACTTATAGTTATCCTATAATTATAGGATTTAGACTGAAATATCGGTGTGTTCCTTACTCAAGGGATATAGGATTCTGGACAAGGCTTTGTTGGAAAGAGAGCGGGAAGACAGGTCTTTTTCTTTAGATGCCTTTAGGAATGGAAGATACGTCTCATAATTCAGGAGTTCAGCTTGGAGGTGAAGTGATTGACTAAAATTTTAATAAGCTATACCCATTCTTGAAGATTAGACTCTTAATTTGTTATTATGATTGTGACCAAGATGGCCGGAGGCAGCAAGAGTCAGAGTACTCCCAACAGAGGCTCTTTTTTTCCCCCCAAAGGCTCTTTCTTAAACTAAGATTTGACTTGCCAACAGGAAAATATAAAGTAGGTATTCAACTGGCCAGACAACAGAATCTGGGTGAAATTTTTTCCCTTCCTATCACAGCTCCCTCCTGGTGAGTGCTGCAATTCTGGGTGAATTTAGTCCTCCTTGATTTTCACTTTCAGTAAGGGGAGAGAGTGTTCGTGTGTGAAATGTCTATTTCCCTATGGTCTTACACAATGTTAAAGTGTTCAAATAGCGAGGTGAAAGATATTTTTTTGACTCGGAGCAAAACATACAAATATTTCTGAAGAACAAACTGAAAACATTTCCTGGTTTATTTTCTTACAGCGAGACCCATATTGCTCTGAAGGCCAGATGTGCCAGTTTTCCCTTGTGAAACAGCACATACAGTCAGCAGGCTTCACCCAGAAAGCAGTTTGGATTTTGTCCTTCAAGAACCGCAGGGCAGGGGTCCTTCTGGGGAGTGGTAGTTGTTCTTGCTCTCCACCGTGGGAGGGAAGCTGGGCACTACTGCAGCTTCACTATTTACATCAAAATGGCCTGGCTGGGACTGTGTTGAAGGATGTTGCTCAACTGTGGCTTGAAGACCAACCAGCATTAGATTAGGACCAAGAAATTGAGCACGTGGCCCAGGTCCTAAGAGTCCAGATTATGTCCACAGCAGAGTAGTTGCCCAGTTGGAACTGGTAGGTGCCCAGACAGGACATGTTGGCTGCATGGGGACTACGACAAATCATCACCAGGAGAGGACCCCTTTCACTTCCCCAAGAGAACTTAGCACGTTAAAACAAAACAAAACAAAACAAAAGAAAACAAACAAAAAACCACCCAGCCAAGAAAAGGCCTTTCCCACATGCTCCTCTGCCTTTTAGGGCCTTGAGGCCATTCTCCCTAATCAGCTGCTGTGTTGGGAAAGCTTGCCCATCATGAATATCACTCTTTCCAACCAGACTGCTTCTTCTAGATCTTTAAAAAAAAAAAAAACACATTTCCAAAACCAGGTGATCCAGTAGAAAATGCAATATGTGATTTTACTCTAGAGTCATAACAACTCTGAAAATATTTCTGCTTATTCAAGTTAATTTCTCCACCAGAAATCTGAAATTAGGTGTGATAAGTTAATGATTATACAAACAAGAACTGCTTTCAATAATTTAATTGGACTCATGCCCAAAGAAATGTACTTGCATGAAATATTAAATATTACTTATAAAGCAATTTGGACACAGTCACACAAACATCAGGAAAAGAAAAAAATAATTCTCCACAAAATGCCAGTGTTTTGTTTTGTCTGGAAAAAAAAATTGACCACACAATTAGAGGTAAACGATATTTTCTTCAGCCGCGTCTCCAGTCTCTGCATCTTGTCCGGTCCGCGTCCGTAGGTTGTGCGCTGCTTCTGCCGCCCCCGTCTGCAGCTGGGAGCCGCGTGCACTGGGCTCCAGGGGGACCGGGGGCCCCGGGCGAGGGGTGCACAGGCCTGCAACAGACAGACGCACAGGTCAGGGGGGCAGCGTGAGGCCCGGACACGGGATGCTAGGCCCCGGGCCATGGGGTCTGGCACACGGGGGGCCATGGGCTCCCAGGGGAGCGACAGCCTGCAGTGGTGGCAAGGGACCCAACGAATGCAGCACCGACGTGTTTGCTGGTGCCCAGGCCTCCTCTAGCTAAGAGCCTTGCAAGTAAGTGCAGGGCAGGCTCAAGTGGCCGGACACCTGTCCCCGTCCGCGGGCGGAAGCTGTGCCAGCGCCGAAGGGGCGCCCCCTGCCCACAGGCCAAGGTCTGCCTCTGTGAGGGGGCCGGGTGCACCTGCACAGCACCTGGCTCCGGGTCCCCGGGGCCCCCTGAGCACCCCCCGACCTGCCTCTAGACGCCCGTGGGCCAGCGGCCTGGGCTGCAGGCCTCGGCAGGTGGCCGGGCCTCAGCTGTTGGGGCACCCGCTTGCCCAGGGCAGGGGAGGGGACAGGGCTGGCGCCCTGGAGGAGGGAAGCCGCAGCCGCAAGCTCCTGCCTCCGGCCCGGGACTCCGGGCACCCTCGCCCACCGCTCGCCTGCAGCACATGCCCTGTGGCCTCCACGGACACACGAAACCAGCAGCGCCATGTGACCAGCGACGCTGGCGACCTGGGCCCTCCTGACCTGGAGGCTCGGCTGTGAGGCCGGAGAGCAGCACCCCACACGGCTGTCTCCGGGGCCCTCAGACACCAGTCACTGCAGGAGCCGGAGCCAGCAGGGGAGGTGGCCCGGGACGAGGGGAGCCTGGACCCACAGCTCTGTGCTAAGCCAGGCCTCCCCGACTCCAGATGCCAGTGGGACGTCGGAAAATCCATCTACGTTTGGGTGACTTGATTTTACTGAACCCCGATTCCAAATCCTGTCCCTCAGATTCTGGGAAGCCACTAACTACTGCTATTTTCACGACTGAAGATGCCTCTACTCCCCTCGTGCCCAGAACTGGGCCCGAGAACTGTGGGTCTTTACTGACATCACTCTTTAAGCCTCAAAATGTTGCAACCCACATTTTACAGTTTGGGGAATGGAGGCTCAGGCCACTTCAAGCCCTCCCCCAACATCGTGCAAGCTAGATCTGAACTCAGGAGCACTGCCACTTGCTCATGGGATCAAGATTCTCATGATTCTTGTTCTCACGATGATGGAAATGGTTTGACCATCTTTCCTAAATGAATAGAGACCTTGAATGTCTAGTGCTTCTCCTCGCTAAGTACCACATTTTGAAGAGTCACTTAGCAAAAAATGAAATTCAGAAAAAGACATAGCAAGCTCCTAAAAACACACACAATTATTATCAAAATTCCAAAGCTCCCTCATTTTATCAGGCAAACACGAACCGCCCCCCGGCACCCCCTTGTCTACGAGGGCAGCACACAGCAGTCCACAAGGCCCTCCGCTATCGTAGCACATCTGGAGACGAAGAGTGCCTGTTTGTGGTCACAACACACATTCATGCTTCCAACTCCTGTCCCCAGCCATTGAATGAATAAAGCCATTTAACCTCTAAGAAACCAATATTCCCAGTTTCACTACTCATTTTAGTATCACACAACCTGAAACACACGCACAGCTCCAAGCCTCCATCTGGCGGAGGGGGCCGGCTGGAGCCACCACAGTGCTGCCTCGTGGCCAACAGAGCGTCCAGCTACACGACATGAAATACCACACGGACAACAAACAACTATCCACTGAATGAGGTGGCTGAGGGGCGACTGGTGACAAACGTGACAATACCAGGCCTGATGAAGCCCTTAATCCACGTAAGTCTCCTTTCTCTGGGGCGTGAAACATGGAGCAGAAACCCCGAGACACCGGGGACTCTGGATCTGGCGAGTCCTCCTACTGGTTTCAAGGAAGGCATCCTCAAAACGAGCCGAAGGACCACATGTAGATCAGGATTCTTTTATCTTAAGTTAAGCTGTAGGCTCTGGTTCAGGAAGAAAGAGACCCAAGAATAAACGGGGGGAGGTGTAGTTGGTAATCATGCGTGTGTGTGTGTGTGTGTGTGTGTGTGTGAAGGGGTGCAGACGTTTACTGAGAACTTCTTGAGATAAGAAGAAAAACACAGAAGAAGAAGATCTCTCGGTGAGAAACAGCTTCCTCGGCCCTCAAGTGACGGACTTGCGTTGTTCTCCCAGATGGGTAACTAGAGGTTGTCGGGGTGTGTATGCCTGAGGGGAGCTCGGTCTTCTCCTCCGTGTTCTTCCTTGGTTTCCACCCTAACTCTTTAGGCAAGGTCAGACAACCTTCTTTGAAATTAGAAACCCTTCCACGATTTTTGATTTTGGTATTCCATTTCAACCCTGAAAGAACCCCAGCACAGCAACTGTGTACTTTCTCAAGGTCAGCCACCTTTTTCCACACTTCTTACCCTAGAGAATATGATCATCATATGGAACTCTAAACTGGAAAAACATTTGTTAAAACAAAACCTCACTGATTCAAAAAGCAGAATTCTTGAGTAACAAAAAATCATCCAATATTGTGATCAAAATCCCTATAAATTGCTGGACATAAAAATACCTCAATTTTAAATAAGCAAAGATATATGAATTTAACAGAAACAGAATTTGGTCAACCATAAAGCAAATGCTATTATAAGGAAACAAAACTACAAACTGGAAGGAAACTTTCAATCTAGTGTCTCAATAGAACTTTTCCTCTTACTTAACCTAAAAGATATAATGTGATCTTTACCATACTTCTGGAAACTAAACTCAAGGAACATTATTAACCTTAAAGACAAATAGGCTAAAATACATAGAAAACCCAAGGCCTTGCTAAACCAAGTGGAGAAATAAAATCTTGGTGCAGGATTTCTTCTACTGAACCGAACTTTTTTCCACACCCTACAACTTCATCCTTAAGAAGAAATCTCCTTAGACCCACTGTCCACTAATGAAGTTTTTTAGAATTCTAAGTACCCACATTTTGGCTGGTACTATTCTCTTTCTCCCATGAGTAGGGCTAGAAAGCACCCATTCTACCAAGGACATGCCCTGCACCACGAACCGATAATCCACAGACCAGCTGGTTTCCTGAATCTCCCTATTCTTAGCCCTTAGTTGCAACCTGTTGGTTGACATTTGCATTCACCACTTTCATCATTTGCTCACCTCATATTACCATTTTAGACTATCAGGGAAGAGAATCTGAGGTGTGCGATGGCTTGTCCTGAGAAACGGACACTAGCAAGATGCAAAAATCAGCCTTCCCGCCATTGGCTCTCCACCATTAGTATTTTGAGCCAACCAAACTGGATTAAGACCAGCCTATAAACTCAAGGTGTACAGTGCAACCACGTGCCATATTGAAAGTGGACGAAGGGCCCCCTACGCTGACGGCTGAATGCAACCTGTGAACGACAAGGTAACCTCGGGCAAGTCATCTCTCCTCTTTGGGCTTCAGTTCACCAAGGAGTTTTGAAGTCACCATTCCAGCCTCTTGAACTCCTCTACCGAAGGAGAATTTATACATCTGTGTTTTGGGTTATGATTCACCAAATAATCTGAGGGAACAACAAATGAATGTGTTTTATTATCTTTTTAAAAATTTTTTTAAAGATTTATTTATTTATTTATGATAAACAGAGAGAGAGAGAGAGAGAGAGAGAGGCAGAGGCACAGGTAGAGGGAGAAGCAGGCTCCATGCCGAGAGCCCGACGTGGGACTCGATCCCGGGACTCCAAGATCACACCCTGGGCCAAAGGCAGGCGCTAAACCACTGAGCCACCCAGGGATCCCCCAATGAATGTGGTTTAACTCTTTATGTTCAAGAAATACAAATTTATCACCTTAGGTCGCATATAATGTTTTTAAGGTAATTTCCAGACATGGGTTCCGCCCCCTACCTTCATTCCTCTAACACCACCTAACTGCCGGAGCCCACAGAGTCCTCAGGGGACAGTCTTCGGAAAGCTACCTAACAAGAAGGTAATGCCCGCAGTCAAACCCAGCGCATGACCTGCCCGTCAATGAACAGCAAGCTGAAGGAAACAGCGAGTTGCTTCCTAAGTTGTCATGAAGAAAAAGTTTGTGACAAGTCGGAAAGAGCTGTCCATCATTTTAACATCAGCAATACTTGCCTTTCCTGGATTTTCTGGATGGAAACACATTCTCAATCATGGTATTTTTTAAGCCATATTTAAACTTAAAAGCACCAGTATAACTTTCATCATAAATTATCAACGGTGGAGGTCCAGAACTTAACTCAACAGTATGGGCCCTGGCCAGGCACCAGCATCCCAGTGCTGCAAAAAGCACACTGAGTCTACTGTTTAGATTGTTGATGATACCCCGCTCAGTCCTCTGCGTCTCATCCCATTCCAGTCTCCCAAATAAAACTCACAAAACAGAGCTCTGAGTCTCTGGGTCTTGGCTCTGTTCTTGTTTACTTTAACGAAGTGTTCTGACTTGTGCTCCTTATTACTATATCCCCAGTGCATGTTCCGAAGATCAAAATTCACACTACACTAGAATAAACTCCACCTCAAAAATTTTTTGACTAATGTTCCAAGTCTGCAAAATAAGTTGTATTCCCTATTTAATGACTGATTCATGCTTATACTGTGAAACATTTAAACAATCGTTTCCTGGTGGCATCACTGGCAATCACTGTTTTTTCTCAGGAGCATTAATGCACAGTATTTTTCTTCTAATGGAAAACACTTCTTGTACAGAGCTTGAGGTATCTTCAGAGCAAAGGAAAAGTGGTCTGTGTCACTAATTCTGCTCGACTCCATTTTCCTCCGTGAGCCACAAAGAGGACGTGAGCCTCTGGCATGAAAATGAACCCAGATTTGGTGTCTAAGACCAATGATCTCAACTACTGTTATGATTCCATTGTGACCCCTCATGTACCAATACCGCTCCTGCTCCCTGCCCTGGGGGGAGTGTGTGTGCACATGTGGTGTGCTTGCAGAAATTTCTAAACTATAAAAGCAAACTTTCATAATTTTTCAAATTGTGAC